ATGTCCCTCCAGTTACAGTGGTTTATAGCTTTTCCACTGAGCAAACCCACAGGACGCCAGACCCCACCGTGCAGCCATACTCATGGTTCATGCATGATCAACTCCTCTGCAGAGCAGGTTACTGCCCAGTTGAAGGCACACCAAAACCTCACTCTGCCCCTGCCCAAATGTCTCCTAGGAGCCAGTGTGCATGAACTGCTGAAGCCCCCAGGCGAGTACTTCACTCTCTGTGACATTGAGGAGGTGAGTGCTGGCCATGGTGCAGGGTAGTAGGTGCAAGCTGGCCCCGGGGTCAGTCACCTTCCCCTCTGTTTCACACAGGGCCTGGTACGGCACAAGCCCTTGGTGCTCTTCATCACCCATGGCGAGTCCTCCACGGGGGCGCTGCCGGCACCGGAGGGGCTGGGCAAGCTGTGCCACCGGTCAGTGCACACCAGGCACCTATGGGGAATGGCAGCACCCCAACATCACCACTGGGGATTGGGGCATGGGGATTTACATGCCCTGGGCTCTTCTCTGGCTGTGTTGTACTGGAAGCTGTTTGTTGCCAGTGAGACACACAGCCTTGAGGAGACCAGGATGCAGGGGCTGCAGCCAGAGAGGTGGCAAGAGCAGATGGCAGGGACATCAGGCTGAGCTCTGTTCTTACACAGGCATGGCTGCCTGCTGCTTGTGGATGCCGTGGCATCGCTCGGGGGAGCTCCCATCTTCATGGACCAGCAGGGTAAGAGCCAGAGTGCCATCATGGACACCCGGGGGACAAGGGGGCTCACACATGGGCCAGGGAGGGAGAGAAGGTGGGATCAGCCTCACAGCTCATATTTTGGGTTAGTAGCACTAGAAACTGGTCCAGCTGCAGCCAGAGAGTCTGTTCCCCTTGGGGAACCATCGGAAGTGCAGGTGTGTTTGGTGCAGGCCAGACACAAGCAGGACCTGCAGCATACGCCACTCTGTGCTTCCCTGAGCTTGGGGGGAGCTGAGCATGTCCCTGCTGTGGGCCTCTGGTACCTAAAGAGCTGCTTCCCCTCTTGGGCAGAGATCGACATCCTGTACTCTGGGTCTCAGAAAGTCCTCAACGCCCCCCCTGGCAGCGCACCCATCTCGTTCAGTGAGCAAGCCAGGTAAGGGCAGCCCTGTACCAATGGGGGAAAGGCAATGGGGCTGACAACCCCCTGCTTTGCCAGCCATCTCCTCCAGCCCCACTCTGGAGAGTGCACCCAGCAGCAGTTCTGTATGGTCAGAGCTCTGCCCATCTCTGGGCAGCCATAGTGGCTGGGGGGCCGGCGGTCATAGTGGCTGGAGCCACTGTGTTCACTTTGGGGAGGCCTTCTTCCAGAACTGACCCCACTCCAGAGCTGGTGGGATCAAGGTCTGGGTCCTCCCCAGCACTCTGCTTCACCAGGGAGAAGATTCTAGGCAGGAAGTCAAAGCCCCCATCCTTCTACCTGGACATGCGTTGGCTGGCAAACTACTGGGGCTGTGATGGAGAGCCGCGAAGGTGGGTGCAGGCTGTCCTGGGACAGATGGTTGCAGCCATCCCACCCACAGCCTTTGCCCCAGCTCAGGGGCACTGTCTTCCCATCACCCTGTCTGCTGGTTATCAAGTGTTCCTGGGGGATTTGCATCCCCCCTACACTGGATGAAGAGGAGGGAGGATGCCATGCCCTGGTTCCCCCCACCATGAGCTGCAGTACTGCTCTGCAATGGGCTGGGCTGAACCCACCTGGGTGCCCCTTGGGTTTTGCAGGTATCACCACACGGCACCAATCAACAGCTTCTTCAGCCTGCGAGAAGGCTTGGCCATGCTGGCAGAGCTGGTGAGTGGTGCCAGACAGGCAGGGGGGCACCAGCAGTGCTGGTGGGCTTGGAAGAGTGGTTGGCACCAGGAAGTTCCCACCAGTGGCAGGGACCTTCTCCGTCCTCTCTTCCTGCAGGGTTTGGAGAACTCTTGGGAGCACCACCGGCTCAACTGTGCCCAGCTGTGCCAGGGGCTGCATGACCTGGGGCTTGAGCTCTTTGTGAAGGAGGAGGTGAGTGTGGGGTGAGCCCATCACCATGCGGCAGGGGCAGTGTGAGAACATGGCCCTGAGCAGCTGGAGATGTGCCTGGGCAGCTTTTGATGCTGGAGAAAAAACTCACCACCCAACAATGCGCTCTCCTGGAAGGCTGCTGAGCTCACTGAGGGATAGGGCCATGGCCAGGAGCTGCAGATTTAACCCATTTCTCTCTTCCCCAGAAAGCAAGACTTCCCACCATCACCACTGTCAGGGTGCCTGAGGGCTATGACTGGAAGGAGATCATAGCCTTTCTCATGGACAACCATGCCATTGAGATCTCTGGGGGCCTGGGCCCCTCAGTGGGCAAGGTGGGTAGCATGCTCCCCTCCTGCTGCCCATGGCCAGGCATCAAACCCAGTTGTGGCTGCATCCATGCTCCACAATTAACTGGTGCTCCCTGGCTGCAAACAGCAAACACACAGCTGGATGCATCCCATTGCCTGCAGCGGCACATATCAGCTCCTAAACACACACAATTGCCACGCATAATTGAGTAACCACACGCATAATTAGCGGGGTGACACGTCTTTAGTGGAACTGCGTGTTAAAATAGGAGCAAACAGGGAACTGTATACATGCACTCACACCCAGCAGTGCACATGGTCATGCCCCTGCTCCATACGGAGCCTGTGCTTTGCCAGCAGCCACTTTGCTTGCAGAGCATGGCTACAAAGCTGGGCAGGGCAGGGAAATGCTTGCCCTTCTCCCAGGTCCTGCGAATCGGCCTCATGGGCTGCAACTCGACCAGCAGCAACGTGGACCGTGTGCTGCACGCCCTTCAAGATGCCCTGAGGTGCTGCTGCCGCCGCAGCAGGCTGTGAGCACCGCGCTCCGCAGGATGCTGTCAGGGAGCACCGCAACACCCAGCAACCCAAGCCAGAGCCAGAGGGAGAAGCTGGAAGAACAGGGGATGTGGAGGTGAGGGCTGTGGCTTGGCAGATGCAGGATGTGGCTCAAAACCCCTTCTCCTGGTGCCTGTGCAGGGTCACTCCTCACCCTGATGGCCTGGCCCCCCAGTTCCTCCCTTTCCCTGGCCCCAGCGCATGGCAGCCCCACCTCAAGCTGACAAGAGGGCTGGATGCAGAATCTGCGCACAGGTCACTTCCCCTACCACCACCATCAACCTGCACCAGACCCCAACAGTGCAGGACACCAGCCACCCCCCACCCCAGATTAAGCTCCCTGGAATGAAACACCCGCCCTGGCACCCAGCTCTACCAGAGGAGCAGAGAGGCCATGCATACACACCCAGCTGCAGCAGAAATGCACTTGCTCCCCGGTACCATCTTTCCTCAATAAAGCAACATGGCAGCATCCTGCTCTCTGGCCCCATAGCTTACCTTGCACACCCCCCGAGTTTCAAGACACCCAGATGGGGTGGCAGCGGGATCCGTCTTAGCTCTGCTGAGGGATTTATTGCTGGATCTTGAAAAGGAGCTGACACATTGCCATGTGGCGTGTGCCATCCTGGATCTGGTACATGTGGAACTAAGCAGAGGCAGGTGGGGAGTGAGAGGAGAGGGCTCCCCGCTCTGCTTGAGCCCCGTGCCCCAGCACTGCCATCCTCCTACAGCCTCCAAAGGGGATGGTAGCACGTACACCAGATGGGGTGGAAATTCCAGCACATCCTAAGCTGCCCAGCCCAAGTGGTTTCTGGCACTGACATGCCCTGCCTTGCAATACCAGCTGAGGGTCTGGCATTTCCTGGTTGAGCAGGATGACAAAGTAGGCTGTGTCCCAGCAGGACCTGTCCTCAGTGGGTAGCTGCAGGATGGCTTAGGTGCTGGGATCTGACTGCCTGCTGTCAGTGTGTGCAGTGGAGGATCCGGCAAGAGAAAGTGGGGATGATGGAGACCTGTATCCTCCCAGGCGGAGAGATGGTACCTGCAATGACCTGTCATGCATGGGAATACCCCCCAGCCACCCACATGGCCCCAGGCATGCACCATCCTAGATATTCCTCCCACACTCACCTCTGGTGAAGAGGAGCCCAGGAGATTGCAGCATGGGAATGCTGCTGAGCAGCTACTGCCTTCCTGGAAGGGACAGGAGGGGAGGCAAAGCGGGACTGTGCTCCCCTACATGCAATGGGGAGGGCTGCAAGCTGCCCTGGAGGGGCCCCAAGGAGGGGCCTAGCATCCAGCTGAGCCATATTGTGCCCAAAATAATCCAGCCGAATGCTTGGCCCCTCCTTGTGGCCGGGTAGCTGTGCTGGCAGGCAAGATGTGTGTCATCCCAGCACTGCTCCCTCCCGCAGCCTGCCCTGGGAGGCACCTCATCATTCTGCTGCTGCCAGATTCCCAGGCTCATGCCCAAAGCCCGAGCAAGGATCTGAGAGTTGTCACCCTCCACGTGGCCAGGTTTCAGCTCCCACGAACAACTGGAGGGTGGGTCCTTCAGTTACATCCCCCTCCCCATTTCCTTGAGCTGCTTGAATCCTGGCTGAAGTTTTTCCCGCAGCACAGGGCAGCAGGTTTGGCATCACGAGGGCGTGACTTCTCCCCACTTTTGACAAGTTCCTCCATTTTCCCATCCCCTTTTTGCCTGCATCTGGCAGTGCTGCCAGCCATGGGGTATCCCCAGAGCAAGGTCACCCTGTTCTGTGCACGGCTAAGCTGCTCACCACCGGCAATGGAGAGAGTCAGGAATATAGTGAGCCTCTTCCGTGGCCTTCCAGAGGCTGCCTTCAGGGAATTCCCTGTTGCTTTGCTGCCTCTTGAGCTGGAGCAGCTCCTGCCACCTCCTGACCACAGGGACAGTGTCAAAGTGAATGATCTTCCAGATATCATGGATCAGCAGGGAGAGCTCCATGGCATCTTCATCTTCTAGATGAGAAAGGTTTGTCTGTGGTTAGGAGGTTATCGCAACCAGTCCTTCAGGCTGAACTGGGATGTGTGCTGCAATGCCCATGGGCGTATCTCACCCCATTCAACTCACCCCCTTCCAATACTGCGTTTTGGCTGTGGTTCCCCAGAAAAAGCCATTCTCCAACCTCCGCTGTTGTGGTTTTTGGGAAGGAGCATCACTTCAGCGGGGCTCAGGGCCGGGCCAGAGGGTGTGGGCTCAGCAGGATGAGCAGGGCCATGCTGCTGGGTGGCGCACAGTGCCAACACAAGCAATGTAGTCCAAGAAAAATGGACAAGGAAAGGTCTCAGGCTCCGGGGTAGAGGAAGGCACAGGCCTCTGGCTTGGCCATGGGGAAAGGAGGGCAAAGTGGGCTTGGTGGGGGTGGGTTAAGACTTCTAGACCTTCTGGTCCTCTCACATCACCTCTCCATCAGGGCTAAGATCTACTTCAAGAAGCGCCTTTGAAGATGGAAATTCATGAAGAAGCTGATGGGACCCCTATGGGCATTCCCAGGGGTCCTTTCCCACCATGTCCTTCCTGGGAACACTGGTCCCAGCTGGAGGCCCAGGTAGGCTCCCTGCACAGGGTCAGATGCATGCCCAAAGGTTCTGGTCCAGCCCCAAGGTCCTGGTCCGGCCTTGACACACTTCCAGCTGTGCAGGGTCAGACCCATGCCCAAAGGTCGTGGTCCAGCCCTAATGCACTTCCAACTCACCCTCCAAACAGCCTCCTCCAGGGAGCAGTAGGCACTTGGAGACCAGGAGAGATTGGGGGAACACGGTTAGGGTGAGTCAAACACACCAAGTCCCTGGGTAAACCCTCCCTGAGGACTAAAGGCAGAGGTGGGTGAACCCTGAGTGGAGCTGCCACCTGCCAAGGAGAGTGCCATCAGCCCAGGGTAGAGATGCCCAAGGATGACTGCTGCTGTGGCTTGGCAGGGAGTAGTTTGCATCTCTCCTTCCTTAGCTGAGGGCAAAGCCTGTCCCAGCACATGGCAGGGTGCTTGCTCACTCATGCAGGCTTTGGATGGGCCATGCACCCAGGGACTTGTGCCTCAACCTGTCTGCACAGTATCCACCACTGAGCTGGGTTCCCCAGCCATGCTGGAGGCAGCTCCCAGCCAGGGAGGCGTCCCACTGGCATCCACACCTGGCTGAAGCAGGAAGTAGCACTGGCAGCGCATGATGGCCAAAACAAGGAGCTCTTTCAGGTGCTGGAGGATTTTGCCCAGAACCAGGCACCCCGCATCACCTTCCTGCTCCATCACACCCACAGCACTGGTCCAGTCCTCCAAGTCAGTCCCAAGAGCACTTCCAGATACCACAGGGGTCCAGTCCTCCAAGTCAGTCCCAAGAGCACTTCCAGATACCACAGGTGTCCAGTCCCAGACAGTGCCTGGCTGGGGTGTCCCCAGGCCAGTATGCCAGCATGCCAGCACCTGCAGGGCATTGCTGTCAGTCTACAGGAGGACTTCCACAGTGACAGCATCCTCGAAGGCACAGAGAGAGAACTTGGAGTCTTCCAGGTTCCCAGCATAGCCCACAAGGAAGCGGGGCTCCCTTGCATGGACATCTTCCAGCAGGGTCAGCAGGATGTCCTCGGCCTGCTGGAAATGCTCCAGCCACTGCCTCTCATGGGACATGATCACCCCGAGGTAGCTGTGGCTATGGGAAGCTCTGGCTGCCATGGCAGCTCTGCCTCTGCTTAGTCCCAAGCCTGTTCAGAGCAGGAGTTAAAGTATGTGGGCAGGGAGAGCAGGGCTGGGAGCCAGTGCAGGGTGGGTGGAGGGAAGTCACATCCAGCCGTTGACAAGCGCCACCGCTGGGCAAACGCCAGGGAGAGCTGCTGGGAGCACCATGTCCTCCCAGGGCAGACTCAGGGCGGGGGACCAAGTCGCACCGTAGCCTGCCAGGCAGGGGTGTGACAAGGGATGCTCAGCCAGTGGGTCACACCAGGACAATGCTGTGGTCTCCCATTCCTCTCCTGGCACCAGGTCTGTGTGCCAGCAACATCCCATCACAGCCAGTGCCAGATGAAGGCAACCCACCATGCTCCCATCCTGGACCAGTTCATCCCAGCATCTCAGCTGCCTGGGGCTGTCCGGGCAAGTTTGGTCCCAGCTTGTGTTGCCCTATGCTGGGGTGGCTGTGTGGAGGGCTGCAGGACCCCACACCACCATGGAGGTGCTCAAACACAGCACCGCTGGCCCAGGCCCATGCCCATATGGTGGACACACCAGGCTCAGGCTCAAGCTCAGGCTCAAGCTTAGGCTCAAGCTTACCAGATGTGGGCAGACCCCCGTGTCCCTCGGCCGGGCAGAGCCCTGGTCCCGGCCCCGCTCCCCGCCGGCAGGTCCCGTTGTCACCCCGGTAACACTGTACCCAGGGTCTCACTTGGTTCTCATCCGCACGGTTGCCCGACGACGGCGCTGGCCGCGGGGAGCATCGCTACGGGAGGACGCGCTAACAGACGCTTACGACCCCAGATCCGGCAGGCAGCGGGCCCGGCCGCCGCCAGGAGGAGCAGATGCTGCGGGAGGCAAGGGCTGTGCTGAGAGCTGAGCCGGGCCTCGCTCACCTTCCTCCTGCAGAGAGCTGCACTGGGCAGGCTCAGCCCCTGGAGTTAGGACAGCTCTGGCCACAACAGGGCAGAGGTTGACTGTTGTTTCCAAACTGCCTTCCTGCATCTCCCACAAATCCCAGAGAGGAGAGGTGTATGCCACGACCATAAGGGACTCTTTGTTAGGGACTGTAGCCACAGGACAATGGGTAATGGGTTCAAACTTAAATAGAGGAAGTTTAGATTAGGTATAAGGAAGAAGTTCTTTACTGTGAGGGTGGTGAGGCACTGGAATGGGTTGCCCAAGGGAGTGGTAAATGCTCAAAAAAGTGGTAAATCCCTAGCAGTGTTCAAAGCCAGGTTGGACAGAGCCTTGAGCGACATGGTTTAGCGTGAGGCATCCCCGCCCCTGGGGGGTTGGAACTAGATGATCTTAACGTCCTTTCAACCCAAACCATTCTGTGATTCCTGGGGATGGTGGGTGACCCATTGGCTGATCAAGGTGGGGAGATGAGGCTGCTCCCTTGGGCAGCTTGATGCTGGTGGGGAGAACAGCATGACCCTGGTGTCCTGCTCCCATCACTGATGGAACTTTGGTGCCAGGAGGAGCAAGTGTGATGTGACCCCCCCAGCTCCTCACTGCCTATGGCACCTGCACTTTACGGATCTCCTGGTGCCACCATGGAGAGATGGGTACTGCAAAATCAGCCCCTCTGCCCCCTCCCACAGGCCAGGGCCTTATCTTTTCCTCTTCCTCCTTTCTCCTTATTCTTCCTCCTTCCCACTTTCTTTCCTCCTTTATCTTCCTCCCTCCCTTTCCCCTCTCCCTTCTCCTTCCCCTTCCTTTTCCCTTTTTCCTTCCTTGTTCCCCTTTTCCCTTTCTCCTTTTCCCTTCCTTTTCCCTTCCCCTTTCCCTTTCTATTTTTTTCCAGTTCCCCTTCCTCTGTCCCTTTCTATTTTTTTCCATTTCCCCTTCCTCTTCCTCTCCCCAACAGTCAAGGGACCAGGATCAGGCCCTGGAGGAGCAGCTACCCATTACTACCAGGCACAGGGGGCGCTGTGCCACGGAGGGGTACAGCAAGCTGCATGGCCAGGCACAGTGCAGGGCTGGGCGTTCAGAGCAGTATCGGGACAAATAACCCAGGGATGGGTTCAAACACAGCATGTCACCATTGGAGGTGAGGATCTGTGGGGAAGATTTCATAGCATGAATGTCAGGCCAGGGAAGACATAGCTGGATCGCATGGTGCTCAGAACAAACAAGTCACTGGGAGGCTGGTGAGGAATGGCCTGGCACTGGCAGAGGGGCTGGGCTGAATGAGCTAATCACTTGTTTTCCATCTCAGCATTTTACGATTCTATGAATTTTTGCTCCATTAGAAACAGGAAAGAGAAAACAACCCCAAAAAGAGCAAGGGCAAGCAAGAAATGGAGGGGAGGGGGGAAAAAAACAGGGCATGGGAACACTCAACATGGGAGGGGTGCATAGGTGGCTGCAGCGAGCCCCCGGAATCCCTCACCCAGCTTGATTCTCCATAGGATCATAGAATCATAAAATTATTTGGGTTGGAAGGGACCTTAAAGCTCATCCAGTTCCAACCCCCTGCCATGAGCAGGGAAACCTTCCATGTTAAAGAATATAGAAAAGGAGTGCAATAGTGTGTATACAATGTTCCACATCTTGTTTTTTGGATTATGTTATTAGATTTCACCACTCTCACAGGGAAGAATTTTTCCCTAATATCTAATCTAAATCTCCTCTCTCACAGCTCAAAGTCATTCTCCCTTATCCTGTTTCCATAGGCCCTTATAAAAAGTCCCTCTTCAGATTTGTTGTCAGTCCATTTAGGCACTGGAGCTACTCTAAGGTGTCCCTGGAGCCTTCTCTTCTCCAGGATGATCAAGCCAGCTCCAGCTTCAGCCCAGCCCAGCTGAACAAGCCTGTCTCCAGAGCAGAGGTGCTCCAGCTCTGGGAGCCTCTCTGTGGCCTCCTCTGGATTCACTTGAGCAGCTCCACATCCCTCTTGTGTTGGGGTTCTGGAGCTGGATGAAGGACTGCAGGGGGGGTCTGATGACAGTGGAGTACAGGGAGAGAATCACCTCTCTTGACCTGCTGGTCATGCTTCTTTTGATGCAGCCCAGGACACAGTTTGTTTCTGGGCTGTGAGCACACACTGCTCTGGGAGCATCTCTGTGGCCTCCTCTGGATTCACTTGAGCAGCTCCACATCCCTCTTGTGTTGGGGTTCTGGAGCTGGATGAAGGACTGCAGGGGGGGTCTGATGACAGTGGAGTACAGGGAGAGAATCACCTCTCTTGACCTGCTGGTCATGCTTCTTTTGATGCAGCCCAGGACACAGTTTGTTTCTGGGCTGTGAGCACACACTGCTGGCTGATGGTGAGCTTTGAGGATGTCATGTGCAGTGTCACTGCTGAAGCCTGGACCCTGCAAGATGCCATCACCACAGAAAGACATTATCAGGTGTTTGAGCTGGCAGATGGAGGAGCTGGCATGGGACAAGGAGACTGGGATTCAGGAGGTAGGTGATGCTCTGCCCCAGCACCCTGGCTCTGCACCAGCCTCAGCGCCAGCACTGCCTGAGTCAGGAGTTCACCCCAAGTGGCATGGCCAGCAGCAAAAAGGCTGGAATGGAGACGGGGGACACAGGCAGGGGAGGTAGAGAGGAAGGGAGAGTGATTTAACATGACAGGCTGTTTATTTTGGCAAAAAGGCTTTCTTTTCAACAGATTTCAAAGCCTGGCCCTGGAGCTGGAGGGTAACACAAAGAGGATCAGGAGAGCAGGGGTGTGAAGGGGGGTTCAATGGGGCACTCAGACCAAGAGGGAGACGCAGAGGAACCCCTTGCCTGCTTAGCCCCGGGGAAGCACAGGGTTCTTAAAGCCCAGGGTGTGCTCACACGCTCCAGTGGAGTCCCCCCATTCCAAGGTGCCCCCACGGGCGCCCGCATGCTCCCACACACACTTGCTTGCCTGCACGCACCCGCGCAAGTTCGCACGCTCCCCCAGCCCCTACTCCTTCCTCCAGGCCAGAGCTCAGCTGGAGTCTTGGCTTCCCCCAGCAACATTTCAAAAGAGCTGTTTATTAAAAAAAAAAAAAAATGCTAGGAAAGAAATAATTATTATAATCACATTAAGAGCTTTGGCTGTAAAAGCCTGTGAGAGCACGGAGAAGGAGCCGAGGCTGCTAACGGCAGGGAGCATGGGGGGTGGTTTTCCTGCCTTGTGCTCTTTCTTCTTTCAGGCCCGGTCCAACACCCCCCCACACACACTTCCACCCCCTTTTCCTCCCCTTTATCCTGGGAAATGAAAACAATTTATTTAATGATGGATAGTCCCTTTCTCTGGTCACTGACCTTCTGAGTGAATTTCTGCTGAGCTCAGCGGAAAACGCCAGGCTGGGTTGTGGATCCCATCTGTGGGTGGGGGAGGGGGGAGCTCACCCTCGTCCTTCCCAAAAACCACAGCAACAGTCCTGGGGAGCAGGATGGGCTGGTGGGGAGTGTCCCCACAACAGCAGGAGGCTTTTCTGCAGCTGCTGCCCCTGCAGCCCCAGCCCCAGGGCTTTGGGAGCAGGTATAGGTGCTGCAGTGGCCCTCAGTGCCCCCATCCCTTTCATTCCCTTCTCTCTCCGGGAGACCCACAGGGATTCCTGGCACTGTCACCCAGGACAGGCACCCACTGCCTTCTCATTGACCTGGTCCAGGGTGCAAAGGCTGGGCTGGGGTGCAGTGCTGGAGTAGGAGACAAAGGAGCTGTACCCAGAGTGGCTGCAGGGAACAGTGCATTGGTCTTCATCTTGCCAGCAGCTGTGTCCCCCATTGCTGCCCAGTGGCAGGGCAGCACAGGGGCTTTCTTGGCTTGAGATGGCTGCAGGAGGTGTTTTTCAGACCTGGACAGGCAAAGGGGCCAGGCATGAGGCCAGGGACAAGGCCTGGGACATGTGCGGGGCTGCATGGGACTCCAGCAGCAGCTGGCAACGTGCACCCCACAGCAGGCGGTTTGGCTCCCAGCCCATCCAGTGCTTGTCCAGGCTCTGCTCCTCTGGGAGGGGAAAGTTTGGGAGCGAGGGGAAGGGGCAGGATCACAGCAACCAGTCACTTCTTGTTTG